ATTTGGTCACCGATCATAATTCACCGACCTCCAATTAGGTTACCTTCTTTTTAGTCATAATCGGTCGCAGGTGTATGTTGTTGGGTGAACCTCGCAGTGATACTCAGCTTTAGTCTTGAACTACATTAGATAACAACAATATACAGCAATATCTTTCTTCTGTAGAGTTTACTCTAATATAGACCGAACGTTGTCATAGTAACTTTTTCCTAGCTTAACCTGAAACAGATTGAGACCTGCCGAGCCTGTGCTCGAGTCGTAAAATACAACTTGTGATAGTCGTTCTTTCACTCTGTTGCGCCATCGTTATCTTCTTGTTGCCACATCATCATCATCCTATTTCAGTAAACGCGCTGTATTGCTCGCTAGATTCCATTACTTTACTAAGTTATTTATACCCGTTTGTCCAATTCGATCAGATCGCTTTAACCATCCCGGTACCTTGCATTGAGTGTTCACTAACGCTGATTCAGATGTTTTATTTTATGATCGTGTTCAATTAATTGTACGAACTCTGTAGCACACGCTCCATTTAACAATATCATGCTTTCATTGCAGTTCCAACTTTGCCTGTCATCACGTTGCCATTATTTCGTTGCCTCGAAGCAGAATTGGCCTAGTAGGAATCAAAAGAGAATGAATAATAAAAAACATCAGTAGCGTTTAGAAATATTGAATCCATTTCTAAAAAAATATCATATTTTACCGTAATACGAAGAAGTGCAGTTTTTCCGTTTTGTTGAGTTCGGCTCCCAACTTAAAAAGCTAAGTAACTTTTGCAATTCAATGTGTCACGAATCCTCAGTCTTTTTTTGGCATAGTTGCGGAAAGATAAATCGTTCCTTTAATTTATCGCATTTAAATGTAAAGCTCTCCTGGTATCCAAACGTAGTTTTCTTCAGTCCGAATACATGGGGAGCACTAAATATGCTAAATGTACAGTATAACAGAATCTTTATTCCTAACTAAGGAGAACATTAAAATAACGCAGACTGTCGGCAATTCAATGTAATATATTTAATCCCAATCATCGCCTAATTTCCTAACTATGCGATGATTGAGCATTTATTAATTTTATTTGTAATTGTATTTAATTTAAGCAGCTTTAATCGTATACACGGCTATTCTGCTGCAAAAAACGTTATTTTTACTACTAGAAACTTGTCCAAATTTGATTAAAACGTCGTCATGAAGTTTACGTATAGATTATATCAAAAGAAGTTCTCTTTAGATTCTACAGCTCGCTATCAAATACACATCATGTTGAATCTATTGACCTATTTTAGACTCCGTCGAATGTCTAGATACCCTTACGTTCCGTATCAGCGTTAGGCATTCTATCGGACGGTTGGCTTCCAGCACGAAATAGTGTGTCTATGTCCGCGTCCTATGATTAGCAGGCAAATATGTTAATGCATTTGTGTGCTTGCTGGAACAGGGTAATATATTTGAAAACTTGAGACTTACGACACCTACAGGGCGACAACAAATATTCAATACCGAATTTTTAATTTGCCGCTTAACAGTTCTTTTAAACTGTAGTGTCCTTCAAGAACCCTAGATATTGAACGGAATACTACTGTCGTATATTGTACCGCATTGTAATAACAGACAGCCAGATTACTAAAGACGCTCAAACATCTTACTCCTAAATTTTGAAAATGCGAATATCCCTTTTTAACAAACTTCGTACAAATGAAGACCTGAAATAATACCTCTAATAACTGAAGAAATACATCTCGGTGACTTGATCAGAGGCGCATATTTGTAGCATTAAGGTGATCAAATATTTGTGAACAGAGCTATGTACCCATCATATCATAATGTAACGAAATTATTTTTAATTTTAAATATCAACAGTGTCGAGTATGAGAAATTACAGTACTCTTATTTTAAGTCCGATCTTCTTGTTAGCTCTTCTGCTATATGACCTCTAACTCAGCTCAAGCCCACCATAATAGTCTTCATCAGACGATCGCTAGAGAGGGCGTCTCCTCTTTGCATCGGTCTAGCAGCATCAATCCAACTGTGGGCAGAACACGCAGACAAGAACATGGAGAAGAGGCTCACTAATGCGTCCTTCTCCTTTGACCTCTACAGCAAACTCCTGAGTAATAGCAGTTGTATAGTCATAATAGGCTTGTTTATAACAAGTACTGTTAGCGCAAACGTTGGTGATGCGTCAGTAAAGCAATGTGTTTTGTGCTACAATAAGCGATAACACGAAGCTGGGTTCGTAGCTAGCAAAACACGTGGAGCATTAGAAAGACTAGAAGCATCTGAAGTCGATGGCAAGAGTTTCCTTTCTGCCTACATCAAAATACGTGATCTTAGGCCAAAGCCGTAGGCAGAGAAAGTATGCAATCTCCACTAGCTGTACTGATACCGCTACAACTTTATGCATTGCGCATGCTATCATACATTATAGTATTGACATTACCGACCACCTATATATATATATATATATATATATAGGTGGTCGGGTAAAGGAGTAACCTTAATGGGGTAACGGGCAAAGCGCAGGGTTTCTTGCAACGGGAGTGTGGGATAATCAACAGAGGACTTACAAAACAGGTGAACCACCAAGTAAGTCATGGCAGAAATATACTGTGATCAGAATAATTGCATAAACAAAAAATTGTTACCGAATGAATGCATTGCTAAAGGTAACAGCACAAACGTAAAAAAACCAAATGACCTGAACTGTAAAACAGAGCAACAGCAGAGCTACTTCGCAGAGAACGCAAATATATCCGCAATGACATACTGTAACAAATAAATTCCATTCACTTAAACTTGGATTCAGATCTAGATGATCTGAATTTGTTTTAGATTAGATTGGAAAAAGTAGTACAATAACGTCGAGCTGGTTCCTTATATTCAGGAATTTACAATCGTCAGAAGTATACGCCTATCTAAAGAGCTCGTCAACAGAAGATCATGGAATAAAAACTAGAACTTATGATGACAAAATAATTGTCTAGAAAATATGAGCGAAATTCTTCTGTTTTCTAATGCACCTAACATTCTTACATCAATATTATAAACTTTTTTTGCCTCGAAGTAAAGGTCTATATTGATGATCGCTATGTGGTTTTGGAAAAGCTTGAGAAAAATTTTGTTACACAACAAGAAAAATACGGCAAAAAAGAGCTTAAACGTATACGAAGGTAACAACAAATGCGACTCTAGGGATACTGGCAACTTAATTCGAAATTCAAAATCGGTCTTGGAAATTCAAATGCCAAAAAGTTCGCAAGACGTTCTAGTACATTTCTTGTATTACAAAAATTAGACAGGTGTCCATGAAGATATTAAGCTTTTTCGCTGCTCTACACTCCAAAAAAAAATTTCATATATGAACCGTTTTCAATTTCTCTGCGACGAGAAAGTGCTCACCGCTTTTGTAAGGCCTAATCGGACAAATGATTGTTATTTATTCCGCTGCTTCAAAGATTTACCTATTACGGCTAGAACGATTTTTAAATTATTTGTACCTTGTCTTTTTCTAGCGATAGTGAAGAAGTCAGTGTGGCATCAAAGCGCCTAGTTTCTTTGGTAGGAACGAAACCGTATAAAAGCAAAATGTGTGCGTATATCAAAACCGTATTGAATAAAACACCACCTATTTTTAAGAAAGACGATGAACCATTGCAAAAGCATCATAGGGTTTTAAAGTAAGACTCTTTAACCTATAAAACCTACACCCAGTTTACAACAAAATTAGTTGTGGGATGTATATACCGAGAGAAAAGTAGACTGAAAGTATTAATAGCGTGACACTCATGATCACTATTCAAAAGAGTTATTTTTTATAAGTTATATAAGAATTTAGAGAAGGAAACTTTTAAAATAAAGTATTAGGAGCTTTAATTGTTAATTTCAAAAACCGTAGGTACATTAGATGAACGCGCTTATTAAGGATATCTGTATATAATATACAATACGATGGATCGCAATTTGCAATAATATTTATAGCTATATATATATAGCTATATAACAAAAGTATAATATTATGATGAAATACATTTTTTATTTTTAAAAAAATCCCAATGATTGGTCTTTATTTAGAGGTAAATTATAAACAAGCGACAACAGTCTGCGCTGATTTTAAAAAGACACAATTTTTTACATCTGAAGAAAAGGATTTGAAATCAATCTTCTTGAAATATCTTTCAATTTGAAGTTGTTTCTTTCTAAAATTAATATGGTTCGATTAATTTAAAATTAGTACTTCTAGTAAACGTTTGATTATAATTTTCCCAAAAATGTTTGTCATAAACTTCTCATTACTATTATGTTACTTTCATGTTTAACTACAAGACAATAGCATATGAAGAAGTTTACCTGTATTAATTATTTGAAGGTACTTTTCGTAGAACTGTATTGTTTTTAATAGTAGGAAATATGCAAATTTCCAAAAAATGTGCAAAATTTGGAAATGTGAAAATGTGTAAGATTTCTGCTAAACTTTTTTTTGTAGATTTCGGAATCTTTATAAACACCAGTCACTTTTCTAAAACTTGTAAAAATATCTAAAATTCTTCAGAGAAGTTGAACTAAAGCAAATAGGCATTTCGATATACATTGCTGTTTTTTGATTGAACAAGTAAAGGGTAGATAATAGAACTATTGCACCCATCTGATGGATTTGCTAAAATATTTTAATGGGATAACTCGGTAAAATTGCTTGTCGAAAGCAATGGGTAAATTGAAACTGGTTCATGATAAAGCTGCAACAAAAACGCCGCGATAGGGTAATGAGGTTAGTGTAACATATTGATAGAGCGTCCACAACTAGTTTAAGTTGTACAGGTCGGGTATTCTTTAGATCAAAGAAAAAGTATGTATATATATATTATTTTTTTATTTGTGTCGAACGATTTCAGTCTTAAAAAAACGTTTATTATATCCATCCATTATCTAATTAGAGGCGTGCCAAGAAGCATTGTTTGCTACTGCTATAACAGTTAGATATAATATTCCTGAATCTGTTACAGACATTCCAGCCGGATGAGTCCGGTCGTAATAGCCCAGCGTCCTGCAAGCTGCGGGAGCAGGACCAGCAATCCTCGTCGTCCACCTTGTCGATCTATGCAAGCAGTCAGGCAGCGCCGGGCAGTGCGGGAAGCGCAAGTTCCCCCCACCAGAGTCATGAAAGTCACTGTCCCCACCGTGCCGGCCACCAGCAGCCAGCCGGCAAGTATCGAAAACATTCGAAGCGGCGCAGAGTCTCAACGCGAAGTGCGTCAGTATCTGCTGTTTCCATTGGCGATTCCTCTGCCAGTACGAACGCGTGTATCAGCGCCAACACCACTGTCATGAAATCTGCGGCCACCCCGCCAACCATTCCGCCGCCAACGACCACTTCCGCTAGTCCACGTTCGTATTTTGGTCCTCGTGGCTTCTGGTCTTCCTACGGCTTCCATTGGCCCCGCCAGGACCCTGGACATCTACCTCCCACCATACTATCACTTCGACTTAAGCTTTGTTGGTCTGATTCCGACTGTCCCCCCTGCCCCATTTCTCTTTCTATTTCTTTACTTTTTGTTCCCTAAGAGCTAACTCTAACTACTGCCCTCATTTCATAGGTATGTTTTGCACCGGTTTTCAAGACGTCCTTCGTTAACCTCCGTGAATTCCGTGCACTACACCGGTTATTTGGGGGCCAAAAATCATACTAAAATCATTTGGCTCATGTACACGTTATTTCTGTTCTGTGTTCTTTCTGCTATTCTATTTGTCGCTATATCATTGTTATTTTTGCTGCTGTTACTTCTGCGTTATGCTCTACTGTGTCTCTCGATATATGCTGTGTGTGCATGTATGTTGACTCCTGAAACTACCTCAGGACCGCTCTCAGAGAGCCGCCGCCCGTCATACCATAGCCGTAACCCGAGTTCATCATCTCTGATGGGTGGAGGAGGTGCCGGAAGCGGGGGTTCGGGTGCGTCAGCTTCAGCTCTACCCTTGGCAGATCCAATTAGTCGATCTGTCTCGATGACGTCGGTAAATTCGTGTGATTTTCCCGAGCATCGCCATCTGCATCACCATCATCAATGTCTTACAGGGGGACCAGGGATTGCGGTTTCCAATCGCGGCCTCCAACAACAGATTACTCAGCAGTCCGCAGCCCAATGTACGCATATACGTATATACATTAACAAATGGTTTAATGAGAATATTGCACTTAGAGTAGATGTCACCGTCCGATTTTAATGTAAAGTGTAGCTTAACCGTAAATTTTTCATTATGCCGCGGGTGTCTACTTCTCTGTGCATCAGTATAAATATGTCATTAATCCTTTGAGATTGATTTCTGTTTATTTAGTAAGAACAAATGTTATATATCAACTTTTACTAAGAGGCGCTGATATGACGTTACCGTCACCTTTAGCTTTTTCGCGCAAGGTATTTGAAATTCGAAGTCAGTCAAATATACACTTAGAGAGAATGGTTCGTGGTTAAGCAGTCTTAATTTCACATTATTGTTTTCATCTCACATTCATGATAAAAGAAATAAGGTTTGTAGATATCGCAAACAAGCGAGTTGTTTTGGCACGGTTGCAACATTAATAACAGCTTTCAGGTGATTCGTTTGCATAAGATTGATCGTTGCATATTCTAATCAACCCAAAAAACTACTATCCCAACTTTTTTAAACGACAGAATCGTTTGGGTTTTGGTTGAGGCCCACATTAAAATTTTCTTTTCGATATGCTGTTATGTTCAGCGTGAGTCACACGTGCTAGCTATATTTCAAGAAACTCGTGAATCTGGTGTAATTGTTTTGTAAAATTTGCGTCCCGGCTCACGCAAGAGCTCCACTTATTCGCGCAAAAAAACGCGCTACTAGGACATCCAAAGGGTGGTCGCTGGTACTCGTTACACTACATTTAAATCAAGAAACCCAATAATATACATGTTGCTCAATGTTGAGCTCGTCCTCATCTTTCTAGCCTCTGTCTCAAAGCTTAAAGTGAAAATATAATCCTAACGTGACTATTTGCTTGAAAAATATATGTTCCAACGCGACAGTTGCGAACGCGCATTATGAAGAACCCATTTCGATAAGTCTGAATCTTACTGAGCCTAAAAAATGAATCGACTGGAATACTCCTAGAGTCTATTCGCAAGAATGGGATCTCAGTGACTCCTCATCATAAAGTACTTTAAGTAGCACTTTCCAATGATTGATTGGACACATCAATATATTTGTGAATCTTGATCACCACACTGGTGTCGTGGATCTGTGTATGATTATTTCCTGGGTACAAAATCGGGTTAAAATAAACAGAAAACAAAATATGGTACCATGTGCAGATACCGAGACAAGTTCAGAGGATGCTTCATCATAAAAAAGTTAAATCTGATAATTCGTAAACTGAATCACAGATCGCAGAAATATATTGGATGGAATATAATTTCCGTTGTATGTCGTAACAGTTTTTTCTTGAGACTTCCATCGTATCTTTTTCGTACAATTTCCATCTTATATCTAGCTTATAAAAAACTCTTATTACGAGCGATTTTAATTACCTTTTGTTCGGATGCATTAGAACAGATATCAAGGCATTTCGGAAGCCGCTGTTTTGAAATGCGCGTCTTTAAAGCGTATTGCTTTAACACATTGCATATTGTTAAGTCTTGTCAACCTACAAGACCACTAGAACCTAAACGTTTACTAGGTTTACCTTAATTAGCTCTTTATGTATAATTACAATAGTGCGTGACAGTCTTTTTTGGGTTTTTTGGTGCGTTTTTTATTGACCTTCGTTTCCTTTTAGCAGAACCATACAAGCTAAAAGATATGTGCATAGAACGTGGTTAATGTAGAAGAGGTAAACTGATGTATCTAATCCAGAAGTTGTTAAAAGAACTAATATAAAGTAACTGGCTTAGTATCCTTTATAGTGACGGGTCCTGCTAGCGGAGCAATAGTGGTGGAACGAGAAGACCTATTAGCACTCACCCATGACGTTCGAAATTTCAAGGAAGCCCTTGGCAAGCTCAAGCATGTTTTCGTGACGGAAAGAGGTAATTCTTATGATGGAATTATACAGTTAGTCTATGACCAGAAAAACGTTAATAAGTGGTACATCTTTTTTTGTCTCGACACTTGATATGCCTCAAAAGGTTGACAATACAATAATTTAATAAAGGAAAGATAGCTTTCATGTACGGTCTCTTATAATTAATTTATTATTCAATCTTTTTGTAAGATACATTACTATTGTATTTTTTTTGAACATGCATACTCGAAAGTTGTAAGCCGTTTGGAAACCGACCTACATATTTCGTTGAATTGTTGCTACTCTCCCAATGCTTCTTACTCACTTATTTTGATAGATTCTTCATTTTTAATAGCTAGTTCTTGCTTGCGGGATGACTTTTTTAGAAAGGCTGAATAACACTGAGCTGCTGGTGTCAGCCCATGAGAGACTAGGCGAGGTACTTCGGATCCTTCGCGAGATCCTTCAGAAGTACTCACCCATCCAAAGTTCGGTGCTCCTTCTCAGTGCAAGTAATCTTATACAAAACGTGAAGAACTACAATTACGAAGAAAGTGACTCAGCAATTGAAAATAACTCCCAGATGATTTACGATGCAATTGATCAACTGGCTCTCGCTTTTAGCAGCAGGTAGGCTAAAACATTTTTATTTTTTTCATTTTTTACTTTACTTACCTGAAATATTTTAGGTTTTTTACTTTGAGAGACTTATGTTATTATAAAGTATTAATTAAGCTTCTTTAACTTAGTGTTGAGCTACACAATAAACAAATTTCTCGACATCTGTTCATTTCAAGTAACTTAATTACACGTATGTGACTAAAACACCGTCGACGATTTTCAATCTCTTGCAACGCGTAGTACTTACTAAACATGGTCTACCGGTATGGTAACTGATCGTTTCACAGCAGAGCTATTTCTAAAGACACGAATAACTGGTTATTAGAAAACTATAGTACTTTTAGGAGTGTTTTTCACATATGGGCACAATCTATAATAATCATGTTTTTATAAAATGTATAATTTTTCAGTAGACTTATAATTTGATGGCACTTTTAAGTCGTACCGCTAAGAAATTATTAGCTGGATTATATTTGGAAGCAATTACAAGAAGTCTACCTTTGTAGTGAACACCTTGGAGAAGATAGCGTAAATAATAACCTATATCGCAACTAATCAAGCTGAAATATATACTACTTGACCCCAATATTTGAGTCTCATAAGGAGTACACAAGAACGCAGTAATGTTGGAAAACCGAGAAGTATAATTAAGGCTGAGGTGGGGAAAAAAGGCTTCTAATTTAAACAAAAATTAGATGTAGCTAGGTTAACAGATAACATTATTCCAGAATGATGATAACATAACACTATTGGCAGTTGTGTAAATAACCATAAATGGCGTGGAAATGATGGTGAGTTCACTGTTTTTGTTAAAAAGGACCCTATAGGTAAAGCAAAATTCGTCTCATGAGTGGCAGAGAATGGGGTCGGTACTATAAAATTAGTCCACAAGAGCTTAAACGAAAGATCATTTTTCATTCATAATATTTTCCAGATTTTTATATACAGTGAATGAACTTTCTGACTGTTTCTTTGACAGGACAGACAGGAAATTCTTGACGAGACGAAGTAAATCATTTGGTTGAGACCTATACAAAAAAGTAGCGAATGACGGCGACAATATAATAAATTAATTATTGTATAATATTAGAGCGAAACGCTGCTGGTCTCTCAGGAGACAGACTGCCATTATATATATATATATATATATATATATATATATATATATTAATTGGTTATATTATTTTATATATATAACAATATATACATTGTTTTGATTTTTTCCATTGTTTCTGAGAAAAATGTGGCCTTCCTTGATCTAGGCATCGTATATGTGCGATATTTTAATCGTGAAATTTGTCGCAAAAGTCTATATCGCATAGTATGCCCTGACACGTTTTAGATAATTCTTCATTGTTTGAAGGGCTAAAGACACTATCAAAAAAAACATGGCTAATTATTTCTATAGGATTTACTATACTTGTCCAATTTTGACGTTTTTACAGTTGCTCGTCTCGCTGTAGTCCTATAAAAAATCAATTGGTCTTCCGTAACACCGTAAAAAAACCAGGATGTCATTCCACTTCTAATTAAAATTCACTGCATGTAGATGTTGTGGATAAATAAAAGATGATTGGAGCGCACTTATTCCGAAGATACGGATCGCAACTACCAGTGTTGATATTGTGTTTTAAAGAGGACCAGGTACAGCGACTAAATCTCTGAAATCTTTGTATTCTCGCAAAAATAGAAAAAAATCGTTCAAGGAAACGATATCTCTCCTTTCCATTAGATCTATTACAGAAAAGAAGAAGCAGTAACAGAGTTTTCTAGCGCCTTTGATTATGCAAATCTCTCGAACACTTTTAAATATCCATTAAAAGAAACAGGACTAAGGACAGGTGAAGGTGCGGGTTCCTTCGGTGCCACAGTTAGAAAATGCCAGCTAAAATCTCATATCACCGTAGCAAATTCCTAGCTGTAAAGTCCTATATCCGTAAACGACATTTAGGGCATCCTCTTAAAAAGCGATCAATGAGCTTTTCAGATATCTGCACATCAGTTCAGGCTCAAAACTTGAGTTTTATGTTTAACTACGATTGTAACCGGAAAAGGGTAGCATTTATATTTCGTGCTGACGGTCTTAAAACGCACACCTCCGTCCAATGTTTACAAACCTTAAGCTGGCAGTAATAATCACCTCAATCATTCTCTAATCTGAACCGCTAACATTTTACTAACACCGCTCTACCAGCATATGGAGTCTTCAGTAGCTTATTTTCTTGGGTCTTGGACTTTAGTTAAGCTGAACTCTGGCTTCGTCTATTTTTAACCAAAAATATTAAATCCGTTTACCATTCGTCTCGGATTCATTACGCTAGTTTCAAATAAGTGTCTACTAACTGCATTCGACTTATCCAATGATCTGAAAAATGTAACAATACATATGTATGTCAGCTGCGTAAATAGTGGTAAACATTGCTGATTACTTTCGACAATGAGACCGTCTCGTCTTATACTGCTATGTCGAAGCAGTGTACGTTGTCGTGAGAAATATACTAAATTATTCCGATTAATTATCGGCAATGTATAAACAAGCGTTGTATAATAATGTCACGTGCTGCTGCCTCAAAAATTACTTCGCAGTATTTACTAAGTTAATAAAGGTAATACAACTTCGGATTTTAACGAATTCATATCTGTTATTTGACGCACTGAGGTAGGAGCCCTCATATAAGATTAATCTGGTTGGAAGACACATTAAGTATTACCATATGAAGGTAGTTCCTTTGTATGCACTCGAGAAAGGAAGCTTTCGAGTGAGCTGTTCTGTTGAACTTAACGCTGAATATTCGAAGATCCTAATCCGTGATAATGGTCGAGGATCATGCTTTTTCTTGATATGCCATACAAAATTGCTTTATGACAAAATATTTCCGTATCTAATCTTTATTATTCAAAGCGATTTAAGTGTGAAGTTAGGTTAGCTGCTTTTAACGAAGGTCAAGCCAAAGATGACTACGCACAATATACAATGAAAAACTGTGACTTTTTGACTCACTTAGGCGCAACATCGTTTTACTTTATTTGGTGCTTCCGGCCGAGGTGCGTGATTAAAGTATCAGAAATCGAGTTTTTAGTGCATAGATTATAGGTTAAAAAGGCTAAGTTAGCCCGAAGCGTAATCTGGCAGAGTTTTTCTTTTCAACTTGTTACATTTTTGAAAAAATTTTGTTCATTATAACTGTTCCTGCCAGGTGTGATGGCTTTAGTGGGAAGAAGTATACTGAAATAAAGTTACCTATTGTTACCGATGTTGTGCCTTTTAGCATCTGCAATAGAGACTGACAGTAATAATAAGTAGTGGTTAAGGAGAGCTACCGTTTCTTTACGTATAGCAGGGGTGATGACGATTATGGGTTGGCTGTTGAACTGACAACGAAGCGACAGGGACAGCTCCATAGTAGCCCTATCGTTGCCAGTAATCGGAGTCATGGCAGCTGTGGTACTCACCGTAGCGCTCACCCACACTCCCTCTCCGGTGGAAGTAGTAGTTGCTGTTGTTCAAGGCCGGTGGCAGCTACGACGACGACGGTGGTAGCGCGCCCCTCCCGGCGCGCTACCACCACTCGGTCAAACACATGGATCTAACGCTGACTAGTGGTAGACTAACTGATGTCGAGTGGTGTCCATTCTATTTCATCCAGCCCAACGGTGTAATGTTCTGTGCTGTGGTGTCGCTAAGAAGTGAAAAGTCGAAAGTTTCATAAAGTAACCATAGGGCGCTGTTTGGTGCGGCAGGTATTAGTTTGAGTGATAAAGCCAAAAGGGTGGCTTGTTGACAGGTGTCCTCACTGTGGGCTCTATTCATGTGAAAGATCCATCAAGCCATGTTCAGTATTTTTTAAAAGCATGCGAACGATCGGGAAGTGCGGCAGAAGCAATAATGTTTCGAGAACCGATAGACATGATGACTATGTCGTTAACACGAAGCGATCTTACACGATCAGCAAAGTACCGCTTCTTTTACGGCGATGAATATCGTCTTCATAGGGTAAGTGAAACTGAGCTGGATTAATGAATTATTTTTTGATTTACACATTTACAGAGTGTCAGAGTATCTCATGGGCGACCTGGATACAAATGCCGGCAAAGCCAGGGTAAGTAAAAAAAAAAAAGAAAGGTAAAAAGAACTCACCCGATTCTTAATGACAGGTCTGCTCTGGAGCACACCTTGTCATGCATAGTATAAGGACACACCCACAATAGAAAACACAGGCAACGGTTGTTCATAACAGAGAAAGGCTCTCATCTCTCTGTTTCAAACATCCGTTTTGAGAGGGATCTTCGATTGAAGCTAGGACTAAATTTCAAAGCTTCGAATTCTCGTTTTTAGGCACTCAATCATAGTCGATGACAATTTCTAGGTAATTCATGAAGTCTGTTTCGTTAGTTCAATACCGTCATTTCAGACAAGCCTGTATCGAAGTCAGTCGTCAACTGTCGTCGGCTGTATAACTTCTAGTTGTACAGAGTCAAACGTTACTCGTTCTCTGCAAGCTCAGGTTCTGCGAACTAAAACAAAATCTGTAGTTTACTTGACTTGTACTACTTCATCTGTTTGAAATTGTCCCGAAATATCACTACGAATTTTGATGTTTGATAGAACTTTTCAAAAAGTTCAATTTTCAAAAATTGAAGAAAGAATCTGTTTACCTCAACGTGTGGGTCTGCTATGCATCGAAGCTTCTGATTTACACGATTTACCTAAGTACCAGCCTTAAATCAACTCTAATTTTACGTTAGGTGTTTCTCCATACTACATATCTTTATCACTTATCACGAAAAAGCTGATTGTTTTGATTGAAGCGAAACTAAGTCACCGATAAGGATATAGACAAGCTTAGAATATAACCGGTGGGGATTGCCAGTGCAAAACCCACCTTCTCTTCATAGAGATCGAGTAACTCTTCTCGAAACAATTTATTACTGCCTAACTTAATTCAGAAGTAGCGTTAGATTTCTGTTATTCTCTGGACTTACTTCCGTCCTTGTGTACCGTGAAAAGTGTCAGCGATGATTCATGAAACAAACGAAGAATTTTAACGATAATATGCAAGATGAATGAATACATTATCGGCACATAGTTAGAATTCAGTCATAGACGTGTACGTATCGATGCAAAATGATATTCTTGCATCGAATGTTTTAGGTTTTACATAAATAGTTGAAAATAAAATAATGTGCTACCATCAAGTAGTACGTCATGCTTTCTAACAGTCATAAAACTGCAATTTTCAGAGTTGCGAAAATATCGCTTCTCCAGACAGCGACCACCCTCGAGGATATGGTACGTTTTTGTCTAGAGCTTGTCCTATCGGTGGGAAGTCATTTAATAGGAATTAAAAGGAAAACAACAGTAATAATATTAAACGTTTTATGAACGAGTTTATGGAACGGTATAATTATTTTGCGATTTGTAGCTTCTATGCTTGTACAAAAATAGTTATAAGAAAAATACAAAAATAATAATCCAGATCTTGTTACAAGATCTAGATACCCATGCATTGAACTGAAGGAATATATGGGTAATTTATTTATCTATGGGTAATTTAAGGCTGTACATTCAATCTGAATAAATGACTGAAGGAAAAGTCATATTTTTGATAATAGCTGGATAATGGAATGGCATTCAAGAACTCAAACACTCTGAAATGATTCGTGACCTTCAATTCGACATCTAAACTTCGAATTGGTTATAAGTCTAGCGTTCTATACAACCGCTACCACGTTAGACTAGAAGTGAGCTTGCTAGATAGTAAAAGATTGAGTTATATACAAACCGTAGAATCGTTAATATCATAATGCGGACTTAATAATTGAGCAAATTAGTATAAAAATTGTAACGATAATCTTCATACGTTTCTCAGTCTATTTGTCCTTGAATCACCACGTAAAGCGCTTCTAACAAGTCCCCACTATATATAAGTGCTAACTTGGAGTTCATTTGTTCAGGCATAAGATTTAGGGGGATTGCTCACTGTCAGCACGATAATGTCTTTAGAAATCTAAATATTTCAACAAAATTCAATTGTGAGAAAATTAGGTGCAACAGTGCAAAGTGTTAGAGGAACTTCATATTACGTTTCGCTGAAGGATTTTCCTATATATAAACTATACATTAGCAAAGAGAAGACGTTGGCTGAGCTGTGAGAAGCGGTTACTGTCTGGCTTAGGGACGCACAGTTATACACACGTGCTCCAGAAGCGTGTGGTCAAGTTCCCTTCAAAACTATGCCGAATCACTTCACCTGTTGGGCTGACTTTCTGTCATCTTTATGTCCTTCATTATCTGTTTCGTTCGCGCCGTTGCTGTTGTGACGGATATTATTCAGATCGGCCCTGGACGTTTGTGCCGATTTACGGTGCAATCGCTTATTTTCGTTTCTGTATCCTCTTTGCTGCATTTACACTAATCTAAGTACAGACAAGTTAGCGGCAGTTTTCACCGCAAAATTCAACATGTATCGTTTCTAAATAATGGGACAGCTGGTACATACGTAAAGTCAAATGTAAAAGTTTAATGAAAAAACAAATACATTATGAAGTAACTTACGTACATGCAGATTAGATAACCTAACGCCGTTTTTTAGGGTGATAAAGCCCTTTTCTTGTGCCTTTAGTGGCCAATATATCAATCGATTAAACAGAAATGAGGACAAATTAACTAGTGAATGGTTTAGGAAGAGTCGTAATCAAAGAACCAAGATCGTTGTTATTTCATGTGCACTACCGTGTCTTCGGGAAAGTACGAAAAAAAAAGAGTTACGCATCCAGTAATTCCAGACATTGCTGGTTCTTCTGCGTCACATAAATTAGCACTTATATTTCATAATGTAATTATTTAAACCACCGTCTTTTCAAGACGGTAAGATAAAGCGGAACTTCAAGTAATAAGTCCCGTTTTATCTTGCTTCCAGGTTGTCCTACGTTTTTCTCACCTTTTTTTTAATACGATTTTCCATTTCGTAGTCGTTTATCGCACGTATATTGGATACTTGCCTGTGGTACCTCTCTACATGTATAAGACGTCATGGTTCCATATTCCTCAATGATACAAAGGAGTTTTGCTCATCACAGAGGTGTTTCTAAAATAAAAAAAAATTTTAGACGAGGTTAAGGACAGCAGATCCTTAGGTGTGATACTGCTTTCACTATTGGGCTGCCACGAATCTAATGAGCCGTGCGCATCACATACCTAACCTAACATATTTCGTCATTACGTGTAATTCAGTACTGAACGATCATCTAGCCTGTAACGTTTTCCAGTTCGTTTGGCACGCTATTGTGCGCTACGATATTGGTGCGCCTTTATCATCGTATAAAATACCATTACATTTTACGTAGCCACCCCAAATGCTGCTTATTTCTGCTGTTTGATAAGGCTTTACCTACTTGCCTATTATTTACGTTAATAGTCAGAATTGAGAAATTACAGTAACGTAGTTGGTTCACTGTTCTTTTGAAGAGTCTTTCATTGCGTATTGTGAATATTCATGTTATTTCTTTAGGGACAGACTTTTCATTTTCAGCTTATCCTTATTGCTTAATGCAAGAGCAAAATACGCGCCAAATCTCTAGATAAATCACGCCAAGATAAAGTCCTTATCTGTAACGTATCTGGGAATTTTACCTTAAGCATATCCTGATTAGTATTTCTCTCATATCTTTCTGTCAATGAAATGAAAGCCGAAAGTTTTAATAACATTTGCATAACAAGTAAACCATAGCGTTTTTATGCCAGTAGAAAAACCTACGTTTGAAGCCGTATTTATTATATCTAGTTTTACCCTGATTAGCTGTTCATTTGGTCCCAGCACCAGTCTTGAAGTAATCTTTACCTACGAAGAAAAATGTAGGCAAGTAATCTCTTCCAAATGTAGCTTTTCAAAATCACCTAAAGAAAAAGTTCTATACTTTGCATAATTATTACGTTTCTTACTATATGCTTTGTGTTGATTACAAGCAAGCCTTCACATTATTAAGTAATTTGCTCATGACGTACTACCGTTTTCACAAATTACTTGCCTGACAGTACTATTTTTATCGATCGAAGATACTATAAAAGACTTTTAAAGCATTAATTCTGTAGAAGTATATTTTGTTTTTGCGGTTTTTGGTCAACTATACATGCATATAAAGGCACTACTTCATGTATATAATTAACATATATTGCACCCATTATTCTATGCCATTTTATGTTTCTTACTGCTTTCGCAAAACAAGATGCCCTTGTGCACCTTTATATCTTCATGTTTTTTGGCAACTAATCGATTAGAAGTATACATTCTTCTGCCATGTAAACTATTACTGGACCAGAATCGGAGGGGTCAGTGTCGAAGTTTATGCATACATCTCTACATTGTTTTATATACATATACATGTATATTCCCGACCGAGTAAAATTTTTCAGCAGACCTCCTTGTTCTTCACTACTTTTATATTCCTTTTTGAAGAATTTGTGTTTTGTTGGACAATTATTTGGATCGTATTTGTCTTTACTTTATGTCCATATAGTATTAGGTAATAAAAAAAATTGCATGTATAGTTGTATAAATAAGCAATAACTTTTTCTTAACATCTTATTTTTCTCACAGAATCGGTGAGTCTGACAGCTCAGGACGTTGATGCTCGCTTGATGCGCTTGAACGAAGGTGTTGAATGCGCCTTAAGAAGAGCTAAAGTTTGGTCAAAATATGCCAAGGACGTAATGACGTATGTGGAAAAACGAGCGCAACTAGGCAGGTGTCGAATTAATTTACTACATAATCTTCCCTTGAATTGTTCAGCTAAACTTGTATCGATTCAGTAAAAACAATATGAAACTTCTAGCTTCGTTGTAAACGGGTTTTCTTGTTGAAAAAGCCAACTGTGCATTTATTAACTGGAGTTGTCTCTCCATTTACCATTGCTTATGATTTGTTTCCGTTATCGTTTATTTTCTGTTAGTAGAAGCGGAACATGCTCGTAATCTCTTGAAACTTGCCCAAACAATGCGACCTCTGCTAAAGGAGGAAAGCTTTCTACCGTTCCAGTCTATATACTGTACAGCTATTGACCAAGATCTGGATAATGCCAACAATTGTCTGTCCAATTGTACGCTACTTCATGACCACAAGTTCGTTGAACCTCTTGCTGCTGGCCGCAACGAACATGACAAAATGCGAAAGCAGATCAAAGAGGCTTGGCAGCGTGAGCTCAAAAAGATGGTTGGTATTTTTACTGTAATACGTATCCTAATGATCAGTTATAAGCCCAAATTAATCGCGTAGTAATGCATTGTCTTCTTCGAAAAAGACAGACTACAGTCGATATATTAACATAACAAATTACGATATTAGGTATCGTTTAAGTAACTGTTAAGCAATATTGGGCAAGGGTTTAATGGATTAACCCGCGAAATTTGACCGATGCCCATTTGCCGTTGGTCCAACCAATGTTATTTCTATTTAGCATAAGCTATATCTCGGTTACACTTAAACGCTTTTCGTATTTGACGTCCGGTATTTAAACAGTTAGGCATTATTCTAAACGACTGGCTCTCAGTACAAAACGAAATGCGTCTACGCCCGAATTCGAACCTATACCGTATCAGGTATTTCTAAGTTCAGCAAGCAAACACCGCGTCACCCGCTGCGCTATCACGAGGCTATTTCGAATGCCGCCCTTCCGTTGCAATTTTTTAACGATTCCGTTACTTACCCATAGTTATCTATCTATCTAACTATCTAGCTATCTATTAATAAACTTCCTTTACACCATGCATAACATAGGGGACAACGTTACTGCACACCGGCATCTTTGTAGTTATTCGCATGCAATTATATTGAGACCCTGTATTATCCTGTTACAATTGTCCGGTTACAGCAGCTCCTTCTAATACTGACATCAAAAATCCCCGACTAGTTGCCCCAGTGACCCTGTTATTTTTGGCTCAATTGTCGTATTAATCCATTCCAGTGATCGGTTACGTGCTAACCATGGTACAGTTATCCTGTTACAGTAATTTCTGTCTTTTATTGAAGTGCTTTAGGAATTTATTTAGTATGGTGTAGTTATTTCATTTAGCAGTTCTAATACGAACGTATCGTGTCAATAATACGTCAAGTGGTATCATTTTTGGCCCGATAACCGACTTGCAATTTCACAACTATCCGGCTAAAATTTTATCTAAGCTTTGTTACACGAAATACAATACTTAATCCCCTCTTCGAAGTTTATTGCCTCATTCAATTTTCGTAATACTGTAACTTTTATGTAATTAAATGCATTGTTCTAGTGTTGGTTGCCGTGCAGCCCTAAGCCATCATTCTGTTGTACCAGTAATCCCATTCCTCTATCAGTATGTTCTAGTAACCTCGCTATTCTTTTGCAAACAGCCATTCTTCGATCTTAATCTTTATTAGCATCCGTCTCTTAATTTTATAAATTATTTCACCTAAATTAACCCACAGTTATACATGCATGCTAGTACCTGAGGGTTCGATACAGACTTAAGAAAATTTTACTCCATCTGCACGCGCTAAGATCATATTTGACAATATATTCTTCGTGGAGTTACATATTTTCCGTCTCTGGCGGAAAAATGTTTTCAAAATCTCTGACAAGTTCCTCCATTCTTCCCGTTTCCCCTTTTTGATTAATCCGCTTCTTAACTTTTTATATTTACCTTGCAAATAAAATTGCATTTTTCAAAAATATTGATTTTATTTCTGAATTTTCTAATTATTTGCCTAAAAAACCAAATAACTGCTTAATACGAATTTAACAAAATTCTTAACGTTTGCCGAACAGATCGCTTAAAAGTAGGTCAGTTTTGCGCGAACTAACATTAAACTTTATAATAAAAAGAAACTATTCATATAAAAATTCACTTAGCCAATCTTTTCTGAATCCTTCGATCTAATCATTTTTGGATGAAACTCTATTATTCCAAAGTGAGTATATATATACACATTGGTAAAGAATTATTTTATATAAATGTACGTAACATCCACTAAGGCGTGGTACGCATACCTACCTTCTAAGCCAGAGAGTCAATTGTGGATGCGGGAAGGATCTATTCAAATAGAGATGGAAAACACAATTGTTTTTTCTGGTTCTTTAATGCTTTTGAGGCGCTAAAAAGGCTAAAAGCTTGTTCCGGGTACACGAGCACATGTTCGTGGGTCTGCAAGATACCTCTTTTTGGTAAATCTTAGAAACTAAGCCTACATCCAAAGCCGATGTTATTCATTAAATTTGAGTGTTGACCGCTCAAATTTGTGAGAAAACGAAATGGTAGTTGTCGTTTATTCGAAAGAATATGTGCTGTTTATAGCTCCCATGGCGTCTGCTAACACCCTGTACTGATTATGCATTGCAGCAAGATGCTGATTCAAACGTGCGCAAGTGCCGGTTATTATATATTCAACGTCAGCATGAGTATGAAAAGGCTCGTGAACGTGGGACCGATGAGACAATAGACCCGCAAAAAGCTGAACAGAAGGCAGAAAAACGTCGAAAAGCAGAAGAGGAGATACTAGTCAAAGTCCGTGAAGCTGAAGCAGCCTACAAGGCCACCATAGTGGAGGCCAACGATGCAGCGGCGAGCATTGAAAAAACAAAGGCTGACGTGTTAAAGCAGGTTCGAGAACTCATCGTTCAGTGTGACAATACAATGAAAGCAGTGACGGTTGCTTATTTCCAGTTACAACATTCGGTCACAGCGCCAGCGCCAGTGCAGTTTCAGACTCTTTGTGAAAGCTCACGCCTGTACGAACCGGGCTCACAGTACACGGAATTCGTTAAGCGTATTCCTATGCCAATGGCTGGCAGCAAGCCGGAAAGGCCACAATACACGTTTGAACCGTACAGGAGCGAAGCTGAGATGGGCAGCGACGAAAACCTTGCCCGAGCTGGACTTCAGGAACGCCGACTCTCCACGGACGAGAAGATCAAAAGGGCCTTGTGGCCTTCGAGCCACTCCGATTCACGACCATCCCAGGCAACCGTGCAAACGCGTCCTTCGAACGCTTGCCAGTCTATAACCTCGGATTCGGACTCGGTGTCCTCGAACAGGAGTAGAGATACAAGTCCTACGGCCAGCCCTCATCTAGCAGGCCATACTAGTCATACCGGACACGGCATGGTGCATGCATCGTCAGGTGACGAACTGGAGGCGGACACGGTTGAAGCTGGCGCGGGCGTGAATCGCAAGATGTGCCTCTCTCGCGCGGCGGAGACTCATAACTTCCGAAAATTGAAGACCCCTTCGCGCTGCCGTGAATGCGACTCATACGTCTATTTTCAGGGTGTCGAATGCAGTGAATGTGGTTTATCATCGCACAAAAAATGTCTCGAGACGCTCGCTATTCAGTGCGGCCATAAGCGGCTGCCACGCCGCATGACAACTTTTGGGGTGGATCTAGTTGACCACGCGCAGTTTAGCTTTAACGCATCCGAAAACAATGTTGAGGATGTACCATTCATTGTGAAGAAGTGTGTCAAGGAAAATGATAAGCGAGGTTGTAGCGTGCAAGGTATATACCGAGTGTCTGCTGCGAAATCGAAGGTAGAGAAACTCTGCCAGTGCTTCGAGAATGGCGCTGAATTGGTTGACCTAAGCGACTATCACCCCAATGTAATTGCCAATGTGCTTAAACTCTATCTAAGGCAATTACCAGAACCATTGTTAACGTACAACCTTTACCCCGAATTTATTGCTATCGCAAAGGAATTCCCCTCCAATAGAGAGGATAGCACCGCGGCTGTAGGCATTCTACGGAAAACCGCTAAAAATCTTCCGCGAGTCCATTACTCTACACTAGACAACCTACTTAAACATCTGCGTCGAATAGCCTCTAACTCGGAGTCAAATCATATGCCAGCGAGCAATCTAGGCATTGTATTTGGGCCAACACTGCTACGCACACGCGAAGGTTCAGCTTCTCTGAGTAACCTCGTCGACACAGTCCATCAGTCGAGGTACATATGTCCTTTTACAGCATTCGCTTAAAGCTGCTAATACACCTTCTTGACCATTATTATATATATACATTATCTAATCGATCTTTTTGTACTATTTTAGAGTGATCGAGCTGCTCATCACCTATGTAGACGAAATATTTGACACGGACATGCGTGACAAAAGTGTATCTGATCTGCTGAACTTCCATAAGTTGAGCGTCGACTCCGCGAGCGTGCCCCGCTCCAAATCCGGCTCCTTCCGACGGAGGTCCGACAGATCTGGGTCTAGAAGAGGCAATAAGCCTTCCAGCAAAGATGACTTTAAGTATGTTATCCTATCTTATATACAATGAATTCTTACAGGATAGCCTGTAATATCATGCAGTGCTTCGTTGCAATATGCATCGAAGTTTAATGTTGTATATAAAAAATATAAAACGAGTATTTTAAAAAAAGGAATTACGAATACAAACCGATAATGGGAGTAATATCCGAAGGGCAGTAGGTAAGGATTGAACACAAGCCATATTGACACATAAGTCGGCACATAATAACTGAAAAGTCTAATTGAAAAGACGTGCGCAGACTTGTGTAGTGTTACCTTTTCTACTAGAATGACTGAAGTCATCACGAATTTTTTCGCATAATAATTTAAGTTATAGTTATAACTTAATAATAACTTAACATAATTGAGACCCGGATCGTATACGCCGAAATAACATTTTCAGAGAAAATATCCTCTGAACCGAATGTGTTCTATGTCGTTGTAAAAAAAAGTATTAACACCTGAGATCAAAATTGTACTATTCCATTATAGATTGGATTCTGCTCGTAGGGAGAGCGCTAAGGAGGGCGTAGGTCTTCTGAGTGCTACTAGTGCAACGAACATCACGTCCGCGCTACAGGGGATTAGCTCCTCCTCGCATGATCTCAACACCTCGCTCCAATCGGCGATAATTAATGGAACACCTAACACTTCCCTCGCCCCTTCGGCCATAAATGTAAATACTCATAGAACTATAAATACGTCAGATAAGAATACTAGCAGCCTAAGATCGAACGTTGCTGTGACGTCACCAAAGCTTGCCGAAAAAAAGTAAGTACCGTAAAGTTGATCGATGAAATGTTAATGCTGTACCATTGGTCCAAAATTATTTTTTATGGGTACTTTGCCTGAGGCACTCAACATACTATTTTAAGTACTTGTTTTTGTGAACGAAATTTGGGTAGATCAATGAGGAAGGCTCATCCCCAGCTAAACCCACCTATAGATTGGGAACGCTAAGATTTGTCAAGTGTGATTTTCGGGATGGAGAGTGCATTTACGATAGCTCTTAATGATATCTGTGTATTTTCTAGTTATAGAACTATTACGTGAATTTCAAGAAAAAAGTAATTACATACACCTTTATTATTTCATGTTTTTCTGATAAATTTGAAAATAGAAAAGTCTCTATTTATTGAGGACGAAAGAGTTCAACAAATATTGCTGTAGGCTATGCGAAATGTAATGATCCAGTAAGCAAAGCGTGTTTTTTCCATGAAGAATCGCGCCGTCCGTTGCGGGAAAATATCGGCAGAGTGTTTGTTGCCAACACTTACATATTTGTTTACCGATATACAAGAACAGATTTCAATGAAACATGGGTCGTTGCGTGGTTCGGACAAGTTAAACGATTAGCCAATCAGAACGCCTTTTAGCTGTGAAAAGATGGACGTCAGATCGCTCAATTACAAGCTCTTTTTGACTTCGAGAATGTTGTTCTGCTGGAATGCTAGAAAGGAGTACGTTTCGCACCAAGCAAGCGATGTATAGTTGCACGTCTTGGCCTTTAACCAAAAAAAGTATCCATACGTTTGATCCAAAATAATTGCTGGAACAGCATTGGACAACTGAGGCTCTGCATTTTGCGAACAAACCTGCATATATACATGTTTCATCTTATGTGGTCCGTTCGCATAATATGCATATCGCATAATCGTATGGAACTATGTTAGCAGGGAGGTTTATCTAGTGCTTTTTGTTTAGCAACGTACACGCGACGTGGTCATTACCATCGGAACCTTCGGAAGATAAAGAAACGTCGCGCGCGGAGCTAAGGCCAGTCGGAATTGGGGCTGGTGCAGGAAGCGTTTCCGCCAGTTATCGTTCAGCAACTGGCAATTCACTCAGCATTACCAAGGATCAGCCTACTAAAGCAGCCTCTATGGCAGAACTCAGAAGACAGTTCTTCGAAAGTCCCACTACCAGCCTTGACGCCTCGCCTGCCATAGCAGCACCTGTAATTGAAAATGAGAGTGATCAAGCCCTAAAAAAAATTGCCGTCAATGAAGTGGTCGCCTTCGAAGACGCTGCATCGAAATACCTAAAAAGCACCACTCATTGTGAATTCTGCGGCGCGGGTGACCAGCAAGAAGGTCAAACGTCGTCATTGTGCTCATCGTGCTATAAGAGCAATCAGCTTGTTCAGCAATCGGACGGAGCACCTGAAAGCGTGACTTCCACCGAAAAGGGCGGGTGCCACCATTGTCATAGTTGCCGTGCTAGCACAAACTCCGCAAATTCCACATTCAAAGGTACGTAATAAGTTTTTGTTTGCACAGTTTTCCTGCAGTTACAGTGCAGAGGTTAGATGATCAATTGTGCAAATACAATTTTCCTAATTTTTTTTTAATCTAAAATATTTATAAATAAAAGAAGTTATTAAAATTAAACCTGATTAGATTTCCGGACGGTAGCTAAGTGCTACGAATGAGTATCCAAAAAAACGCTCTTAAATATATTTAAAGAAGCAATAAAGAAGGTAACACTTGCATCAGACTTTACTTGCTAGTACTTGTTGTACCATACGCAGTTTATTAACGAGAAACTAAAAATATATCCTGCAGACCCACAGGTACTACTATTGGAAAATGAACGTCTTGACTTAGCTAGCAGGTAAGCAGAAAGGTAAAATTTCAGGGCAAAGGTAGTAGTACATATATTGTTCCGAATCCTTTCTGACACAACCATATTTTGATACACACTCAGCCATTTTGGCCTTTGTGCACCAGCGACGTTATGCGCTTCATTATTGGCCTAAAACCAAGATTTTTTATTGCCTGCTTGGCACTAGCGTGATATAAATTGAGAAGTGATACAGGAATATGCGACAACAGTTGTTACAATCAACCTTCATTGATTTCAATTCACGACTTCTCTCCATATCTATGTTCTCGTGTTGTTGATCCAATACTTGCAGCTTAAGGTCACACGTATCACTGCGCGAAACTCCGTCGTTGCGGAAGAAGTGGTTCAGCGCGGAAGAGAACTGCAGCGCTACGGCTACTATTTTGGGTTCCGGTGTAAATCCAGCATCAGGTCCTGCGTCAAGTAGCACTTTTGCGGTGGTGCCGGGCAGCGGGCGCGGGACGCCCGTCAAGCCAGGCCTACACGCTACTCTTGAAGCCGCAGGCTCACTGCGGGAAGGCTCCGCCGCGGGACCCGGCACCGACCTCCGGAGGCCGCGGTTCGTCTAGGTGTCTTGTAATCAACCGGAACAATAATCAGCGACGAGCCAATAGTAGTAAAGTGTCTATTTACACCCACCGTCGCGTTCGTTTATACAATTCATTCATTTTAATGCAAGCGATCACGATATTTCAACTATTGCCATCCCATTTTAACTTAAATTCGTTCAACAATTTACTACAATTCTCCATTTTTAAACCAAGTACTGATTCTCAGTCATGTTAGATGCAGTGCAACATTTTCAGTGGTCTGTCCAGAACTACAAAATTAACGTTATACCGGGAACGTTAGAATATATACACCAAGGCGCTGGAGTTTTTGCCACACTGCTTTTAAAATCGACAGGAAGTGTCGAAAGTCGAGTTAATCCTCAAGGTATAAGAGCTGAGTGGGTTTAGAACCATTGCTTCTGCTGGGGAAATGGGGACACGTACGGGGAGACTGTTGGTTGTTTCTAGTACCATTTCAAACATAAATCTAAGAACTTAAAGGACTTATGCGTCAGGTAATTTCCTGCTTTACAATTTAGCACTATATTAACGCCAAAATTCCAGGAAATGGTCAGTTTCTTACTAGTTAGATTACTAGAACATATGCTAAAAATGTCATTGCAAACATTTAGTGTAACACAAGTTTTGATGCAGAAGAAATACGAGTATCTTCAAGTAATCTTCAAGACCGACATTTGGATTTTTTTGTAATTATCCCCTGAAACTGTTATGGACTTCCGGGAAGTTGAGTTATACTAGAAGAAAAAGCAAAGACCGTTTGTAACTCACATAACCTTATGATGACCCCAGTCATGGTATAAAAATTCTAAGCAATTCGAAGTTGAGTCTATCAATTAAAAAATTCTTCTTCAGTTGGTTTGTTACTGCTAGGCATCTAACCATTTGTTTGGCTTTTTTTTTTTGGCAAAGACGTGCATTAGGTTCTGTACGCAGATGTTCTCACAATCTCCCATCAGAACAGTAATTTCTACACGGGCACGTATTTTCTGCTTTGAAATAGTATAGTAGAACGGCGCTTTCGACAATGACCCTCCGAATTGCTAATCAGAGGAATCCGCATAAGGTCAACAACAGTATTGCAAGGCTTGGCTGCAAGAACTGCACATACAATACACAAAACAAACATTTACTGCAATCTACAGCGTCGCTCATGGTGTAACTATATAATTTAAAAATGCGAGTTTCTGACGTTTACGGTGCGTGAAAAGTACTTCATACGTTTGTCCAAACTATTGGTGGTGACCAAAAGCCGCCATCGTCATGACAACGACGGAGCTTGTCATAACAGCACTTTTTCTTCCTTATTACAGATCTTGCAAAGGCGATATTGTATGTCCTCACAATGCACAAATGTCTATCATCAAATACATCGAGCTTATATAGAATAGAAAGCACCAATGGTGAAATAGATCCAACGGCCCAGTAGTTCTTTCGACCTATGTAGAAACTATGTAGAAAAAAACTGGGCTGCAGCTTGGTCAATAATACAAAAAGCAAGCCCGATCTAGGTAGTGTTTTAGCCCGCGGTGAGAACTGGAAAAGAGAAATTGCCGGGATAAACGTATTGTTTTCGGATTGTTTTTATATGTCAGAACTTCCGAAGTTTGCGAATTTTTTATAGCAATTTAATCTTTATTTAAATAAAGTCACAATGTATATGAATATTTATTTCGTTGCGCACATACGCCAATAATTTCCCTAAACTTAAGTTTGGTACTGAATTCGGACATCCACAATAAATTATTGATAATTTGAGCTGAATTTGAATTGAAATTTATAATTCATAAAATTAGTATAAGAATTGTATCTTAAGAGCTTACCTGGGTTTACGTAAACTTTTATAATAATAAAAGTTTACGAAAAGCCAGATAAGCTCTTTCCCCTCAACTTGGAATGTTGAGAGCTACGCTGATGGTATGTTTATTCTGTGGTCACAGTACGTCATATGGTACGTCGCTGCATTTTTGTAAAAATAGTCTTGGATTACAGAAGCGTAAAAAGATCAAATGTTTCTGTAGGTAACAAGTGTCCTATGATTCGTCTTTTGCGATTCTGGTAAAAACAGAAAATTCGAACTCTTTTCGACAGATTTGCACAAACTTGTTTAAAAGCCGACGAAAATATCCTCACACAACTCGTATTAAGAACAGGATATGTTCGTGGCTTGTTAGTAAAAAGCCAAGGCCATTTTTATGGTAGGTTATCTGAGAGGTCTAACACGGTTAATTAGTAGAAATCACATGACCGAGTACTCGTATAGCAACCATGTTTAATCACAGACATTAAATAATATCCGAAATAATTATGTAGCTGCATGATAGCGTTTCTTCAGCGACAAATCCCGATTTGCTCGATTACTTCCCGCTTAATCAGTATAAGAATAACTGGAATGTTAGCAATAAAATACTTTCCCACAAATTAAATATACGGCGATTTTCGGTGCGTTCGAAATTGCGTTGAACCATCTGTGGCTCTACAATTTTTACAGCAAAGTAGAAATGATTATGTGCAGGTTTTATCTATGTTGTGAACGTACTAAACAATCTACGTCATGAAATACATTTTAGGATCACATCCTTGCTCTCACTATCGGTGTGAACTAAATACCTTGAGGATCTTGATTGCACAATAAATGGGTCAAGGTACGATAATTAATGCGCTGTCAAATCCCCGTTCCTAATAACTAGCCGAAAACAATGTTTGTGTATCGTCGGACAGAAAAAGGCAAACTTGAACAACAGTGCAAAATACAACCAAACAGTCCTCACGTCATTTTCGGCTCAAATAAAAGAGAGGCATATGGTTCTCTTGAGGCTACTGTTTTCACGAGCTCAATAAGTAATTTACTCATATGTTCCATAATTCCATAACGGTTTCTCTGGCTATGGCGTAATCACGATTCATACTTCCTATAAGCGTTTATTTATTAGGGTCATACAAATAAGGGGCTGCGATCTAAATTCAGAAAAATTCAAGGCTAATTTGGTGCAATGTGAGTTGAGGTATATCAGTCATTCGATGATGTGCTTTAAATTCGTGTAATTGGTTTGATTTCAAGAACGCGTTACAGATACAAACGTGAGATTTCCCTATGACGAAATAAAGTTAATATTATGCGACAAGCGTATGGATGAGGCATGCGTTCACTCGCGAAGAAGACTACAAAAAATACATGATTTTTCGTATGACCCAAGCACATTTGCATACACAAACCCATCAATTTTAGTGATTCATCGAAATTTTCCAGCTCAACTTATTATTAATATACAATACAATACCAAGTAAGTTAAAGATATAAGTTGAAGTTAGTTTCGTACAAAACGTGGATTATCGGATAGAAAAGCACAAAATGTATTGCTGGCTTGCAAAATGCAACAACGTAATTGCTATCAAATCAAGACTGTGAATAGCTGACAAGCTTTACTTGTATAAAATTTACAACTACCGAGTCACCATGTACCCAGGGTACTGCAGTTTCCTATTGGCAACTTTCTATGAGATTGCCTGTACCTTTCCATGTGTTTATATAAGATAACCTACGGCACAATGCCAGTTTGTTCCATAGTCGAGATTGATGCCTCCATATGATTAACTTGACATAGTCTGTCAGAGCTTGAGCTCTCAAATCTTATTTGTATCATGACAAATCAAAATTACGTAACGATAAATACTAATGAAGACATATTACTAGATTTAATAACGGTTTTTTAAAACAAAAGTCATATCTCATTCTCTGAATAAGGTGATGGGCGCAGGTAACTGATGAATGCAATTAACCACACATGGAAGATTCTACGTATAGGCATATCAGTTTAGATGAATTACCGTAATGGGCTGTTCAAAGATAGTTGCGACAAAACAATGTATGTTCATCTAAGGCTGATTGCTATACATGGATTGAAATAGCCCGTTATTATTGAGTTATGACGGTAGTAGTTCCCACAAGAGGTCACGTAAATATACTCCGTCAACAATAAGGAACACATGCGAAAGTCTGTTTTATTAACGATAAACCAAAGGAAGAAGATGGTATAATAAACTTCAGTTACCTCCCTTTGCTTTGATAAACAATTACTATATCCTACGGATTTTACGTAGATATGACACATGCATAGACACAGTGCGTGGATAACAGGAAGACAAAACCTAGATGCAAGATAACCCCGCAAAAATGTAAAAGCTAGACAGAGCCGCCGGACTGGCAGCTCATTCAATGAATAGGCACTGAATGAAGAGGAACAAATTTACGAGAAGTACAATTTTTATTTTGACAAGAATCAAATGAGTACAGAAAATGTGCCGTTGCCATAGAGAACTCAAGCGCCCGACAAACTAATCAGCACTCACTCTATTTACAAGGGGGCAAAACCTACTGAGAGCGTGGATATGATTTATAAAAAGAGAACAAAAAATGGAAAAAACGATCACGATGAACAAAGCAATTGTGATGAAGGTTACGCACTAATGCGTGTGTAAGAAAAAGTTTAGCAGAGTATGATTTCGACAATACAGCACGTGAACCGTAGGGATTTCAGACGTCAAGATACAAGCAAGGACATATAGTAACCTACCCACAGTGAAAGGAGTCTAAATAGTCGTCAAATTAATAGATCGTCATCAACAGGACCATAAGAAATTTGGGGTAGTTGAGGGTGCGGCAGAATATGGATTATAAATGTGAAAACACCGTGTTAGAATTGAAACGATGATCTTATGATGTATTCGAACTCATAGTGCGAACTTCCTAAAGGCTACGAAGGCCAGACGAGTTTCCAGGACAGGTAAAGCGTTCATATGATATTCTTGAGACGAGATAGCCGATCCACACTGAGTGGATTTTATTGTGTAACACAATGAGATGATCATTGTTATACCCAACATAGTTCGTCGATCAAGCCAAAAATCAACAAGATATTAACTTTGAGAAGAGTCAAAGCTGTTAGTTATTAGCGAATGGATGCTCTGTAAAAGATGTTATAAAAAAGAACGCAGACACAAAACAAACATTTAAGAACAGTTTCACATACGGAATTCATGTAATTGAACATTCTCCCCTTCGAGAGTGATGATAGTAGAGTCATCGGCGAATCGAAATAACGCGATAACAACATCTTTTTCTCACAATAATAACTGCGATTGCACTCCATTTGTTGAATTAAAATATAGTAAATTAAACGCAAGCGTATTTTCCCTATTGCTACTCTACTTAATTACGTATGTTATTATAAATTTGTAAAAAAAAAATCTCTAGTTTGGAGAGGTAGACCAGACGTTGTATATACACATACGTTTAGGCAGTTTTCTAAATCGAATGGGTAGTACAGGTATGTTCTTAACGAACTTTCGTATCTGTCATTCTATTAATGCTTGGTAACCGAGTGTGAAGATTATAGAATACAGCTTTCCTGTGTATAATCTATTCAAAATTATCTTCTATCTGTGTAGACGAAAACAAAAGTTGAGAACATTTCATCCGGGGATTTGTCACACAAGGTTCAAACTTTTTTGGCCATTCTATTTCTCTGTAGTACTATTTTAAAATTTACAGCACAGATAACATACAAGGTGCTCCGTCTGAATCCTGTAAAATCTTGGTTTGTGATAGCCTGCCTTCATCCGATGATCCTTGTGCAAAAAGGAAAGCGGGTCCCTGGTTCTATGAAAAAAAAAATGTATTTTTGCGCACGTATTGGCGGAAGGAAGACTACTTGTAGCTTCGTTTCAGAGCTTCTGGCTGTTAAGTCGGAGCCAAGTGGTTCAACCCATCGATAATAGTAACAATCATGGCTAGATTCAGGGTTTGCAAAAAAACATATCCCCACTGTGTACCCCCGCTTGAATGTTAAGTATTAGTTCGGGTCCATGAGGACAGTGTCACTCGGCTCTTATGATGCTTGTGCTCCCTTAGAACCCTTTGGCGTTCTTCATTATCAAATCTTCATCTTCGGGTCTTTTCTAGCCTTATGCTTTGCAGGAAAGCCACCATAACCATCTACGCGTCATGCAATTTCGTTGATTGTCGCCTTGTTTCGCGCCACATGTCTTAGGAAGTTCCGCCTCCAAGGATCGTGTGCTCCGGATTGTCCGGCAAACCTAAACCGCACAGGAACCATATGATATTTTTTATGAACGTTTGAAGTTGCTTATGGGTGGTAAGCATCTTAGCTACTCCACCTATGTTATGTCAAGTATGAAGCTACGGGTTCAATAAGCACGTCGTGTAATCTCATTGTTGCGAGGTTGTCAGCAGGTTTTTTACCTCTGTCTAGATATCGCTTAAACCTCAAACCTGCCGTAAAACCCAGGGAATCATCCTAACCAGGGCGCGAATTGAATTCGTACGTATTGTTCTATAGGTTTTAGCCATCCTAATTGGTACTACCTGTTGAGCAGATAGAAGCTTACTCAAATCTGCTCAGAAGAGCAACTGATTCGGCTATTGAGGCCAGCAGTTGTTTAATACACTCGGTTAGCCCCAACTCTGAACATAAATCGTGCGAAGTTCGCTGCGCATCCTACTGCCTTATAGAGTGCGTATTGAACGTAGACCGTATCCGTTGTTTGTTTTGCATTCAGAATTGCTCCCAGACATTTGGCTACAGGATTAACCTTGATGGGTGGTTTGCCGAGCTTAAAATTGACCTTTCCCTCTTTTGTCAGGAAGATGGCCTCACCTTTCTTTGTTGTTATTCTGAAATGATATTCCTCTACTCAAATAATGATCATGTTTATCTTGTCCCTTAGCCTCTATTTCTTTCCTGTCGTCACTATCAGCGCCAGATTATCTGCTTATGCTACGCATTTGACTCCGTTTGGTGTACCATCCCGTGTGGCCGAAGTCCAATTCACTTTCAAAAACCAGTTCCTTTCTGAGCAAAACAACAAATACGTCCGGGCGAAAAACAGCGTGTTATGTTCGCAGTTATGTTCGCCAGCTATTATATAATCTGTTAGCAGTTTAAGAAGTGTCAACATGAATAGAAACTTACTTTCCCGTCCGAAATTGAAGTAAACTGAGAGATTTCCGATAGGTTTTAAGCTCAAAGAACTCAAAAATGCATCAAATGGATTAAAAAACACCTGGATTTTTGGTTCAGACATTAACGACTATTTTAGACCAGACAAGAAATATCAGTTGCCGGTAAAGTCGTCCATACGAGCTTTAGCAATGAGCTTTTTTTAAGATCTTGTCCGCTCTTTTTGCACTTTTTAGTTAATTCGAGCTATTCATTCTTCAGGCTTTGGACTCCATATCAACACAAAATTCCATTGGGATCTAGCATGTTTGAGCAACACCTTAACGAGTTCACACTTATAAATATTGCTCGACGTACACTTACTATTAAAAAGTTGCTTATGGATTAAGCGAAATTTAAAAAACAAATGAGTGATTTAGGTTTCAAATGCATAATGTAACTGCAGCAGACACTGGTTAAATTGAACCAGCATGACTGTCAGTGATTCATGCGATATAGTGGATTGTAACCTATCGAAATTCTCGCAAGCATACTTATTTTACTTGCAATCGAAATATTATGAAATTAACATGACGTTCTACAGTCTGCCGTTTTAGATAGTATTTTTCCTGCCGCCATGGAAGTCTAAGTTACGAGCGTTTATAGAAGTTTGAAATATATATTTTTTTCCCACTTTTTCTTTTTTTTTGCTTTTCATTTTTATTCATTTAATTTCGTAATATTTTTTTTAATTACTTCTATGCAGGGATTTTGAAAAGTATGGTAACGCGTGGAAGTAATGTCTGGTAAGTATAATTGATGACAAAGAGCCTCCAACGAGGACTCCCACATCTTAGCGGCCGTTATCCTTGCTGTAATAAGGCGAGCGTTCAATAATTAAGTGGGCGGTGCTTCAGCCGTACAAACCAAGACTCAAAAAGCTGTAAACCGTTTGAATTTGCTGATAACCGCGCTGCAACTTGTTCGCTGAACAATATCCGAGTGAACGATTTCAGAATTCAATGCGCAGCTCGAAAAAAATATTTCGAAATATGGCACCGATATAAAAATAGCGCTTTTTTTGTGATCGCCATCAATGTTTGTCTCATTTCCTACTTATTGATCTAATATTTCAGCTCTTATGTGATGCATTAACTAAATCAATTCTTTGCCTCTGAGGGCGATATCCGGTGCGTACATTCATGGATCGGCCCATATGAAACAGGGGTTATATAAAACAAACAGCCCTTTCTAATAGCGGAGCGTAGATTTTGAAAGTGGTTAACCTTGTTCTTTTAGAATTTTACAACCTTATATTTGTTCGAAATTTGGTGACAGTGAAGTTGCTGGATTTTTCCGACGGAAATCTTCTGTGCGAGGTTCAGACGAATCACATGTATATTTTGTTCCCGAATAACTTTAAAACAAAATGAGTAATTGTTTCCACTTTGATTCGTTACCAGATCTTTGAAAAAGCAAATGTAGTCTCTCTTCTCGAAAGAGCAAAAACAATTTCTGAACGAAAATGGGTCCGGCATCGGAGAATATGACACCTAAACATTGTAACAAACGCCAACTAATAATAATAATATAAATATTTCTCTTTACGCTATAATAACATATAGAAGAATTTTTAATAGTAAGATGTTTGTATTAGATAAGGTAAGTGCAACAGTAGTGTATATAACTAGAGCTTTTGCGAACAAATGAAACACTAGCCGTGCAGGAGATAATTATACAGCTAACAAATTTAGGTTGTTGTTTTTAGGGTAAAAAAACTGAGCGAGCAATACCAAAAATAAAGTAAATACACATTTTAAGTAAAAGCAAAGCGAAAAAAATAGGATTGCAGTATCATAATGGAGAGGCAATACGGCCTTCAGTTATTGGTGTTCATCAATGTACTATTATCGTTTTGTATTGATGGGACAGCAGTACCCATCTTAGACAATACTGTTTAAATCAGAGTAGATCCGATTCCGATATTTATGTTCCTCCTAAACGTTTCATATATAGGGAAAGGAGCTCAAGTAATAACTGGCCCGTCGATAATTTCGTGTGTAGTTAAACCTCGAATGCATATGAAGGCAGTGTTTAAATAAATGCCTAGCTAAAAGTAGCTACTGACAAGGTAATGTGGGAAGCCTAGACCTCACTCCTTTAGGTACGAGCTGAAACCAATTACATTCTGATAATTAGCAATCAAGTATAAAAAAACGTACATTTTGCAATTGTATTTACTTACATTTATAAAAAGTAGATTTTTTCATAACGGCCAAGAGTTAATGTGTATTATTTAGGGGGCATGTCATATAAGTCATATAAGTATTTTATGAAAAATATCATTAAAAACGTCATAAAATATTAAAGTAATTGTCAATTGAAAATTATGATAAAAATATACGAACACTAAAGTCGCTCTATCTCCCTCATATAAAATTATTAACGTTCAACAGAACTCTCGGTCTGCCTTATATATTCTACCCTGCAGGATGAAAAATGAGAATATTGGTGTCTTTAATTTCCATGTTTTCATTTACATTTTGCTTTAATTTCCAAATTGTTATTTTTCGATTGCTCATTTTAGGAAACTGGATAGTAGTCGAAACGAGTGATTTTTTTCAGGTAGCACAGCTTCACTCAACGCTATTTTTAAGTAGATATTGATTTAGCACTCAAAAGCATATTTCTTCTATTAAATGATAACTTGTATAACTGTTTGTAAATCCACATGAGCGAATGTAATTATGTACAAAATATATATTTGACAATAGAAAAGTTGAATTGCCTTTTAATAGTGCTACGCCAATCATGGCATCCGCCAGACAAAAGTTCTATTTACAGTATCATTTCGCGTTATAGTTTTGGGTATAGTAGAACAAGTACTGCCCATATTCATTATGGAATATGGATAGAAGGCTTTTTGGATGTTATCGATTTGAAAAGTTTTTTTTTAAACAGAAAATCCACACCAAAAAACAACATAATAATTTGGATAAAATCAAATTACTTCACATAGTACGTCAAATTTAGCGAAGTACCGAAAAAAATGACAAGCTCCACAGTATTAAGCCGTTCAAATCGGGTTGAGATATTATCTACACACCAAACACACGTGTTGTTGTGATAGCTGCGAGGCGAGCACCGTTAATCGATTAGTTAACAGTGAATAGATAAGGCACTATTTTTTAAATAATATATGTTCATTT